TATCAAATGAAAAATTAAAACCTAGATTCTGCAATCTTAACTAATCAAGTTAAATTCCATCAAATTAAAAAGTAAAACATAAATGGCATGTTTCTTGTTATTTATACAAATTTACCTTTTTAAAAATAGGTAAAAAAAAACGCTAAGCGTGCGTGCTTTTCGTAAAGAATCATTCGGGCCGGTTTCATCATATTTGCTGTTTAGTAGAACTGACCACTTATGCTTGACAGTTAATCACCGATTCGACTTAATCGAGTTGGTGATACCGGTCCTCTCTCTCTTTGCACATAATACTAAGTATCCAACCCAATTAATGGTAGTTTTAATTTTTCTTCAAGGATATTCTTATTGAAGTTCTTCTTGTTCCAACCCAAGTAATGGCAACTTTACTCTTCGAAAAAAATTAATGTATCAAATGAAAAATTAAAACCCAGATGCTACAATCTTAACTAATCAAGTTAAATTCTATCAAATTAAAAAGTAAAACACAAATGATACTTTCTCTTGTTATTTATTTAACTCTAATAATATGTATCATTCGTATAAAAGATTCGTGAAGAATCATTCGAGCCTGTTTCACCAACGCCAATTACCTAGTTGGCCGTGGAACTGATTAATTGTGTTTGCTGTTTAGTGGAACGGACCACTTATGATTGACAGACTTGGCAGCGCCAAGTGTTTTTACATGAAAAATTTTGTCTATTTAAATTTGTGACAATGTTTTGTATAATATTTTGAAAGAGAATTAAATAACCACTATTTATATTACACAAAATTCGCGCAGTATACACAGTATTTTTAACAGAAGATTGACGCCTTGCTGTTTCTTTCTTATTTTTCAATGAATTCTGCCATTCACGTCTTATTCTAAAAATAAAAGGATTATTTAGTACTTATTATTTTTAATAACTCCTTATGACCTATTCTTTAATTAATACTTTAAATAAGTTTTCGGATCTCATTTTATGTTTTTCATTTTAAATAAATCGCATCAATCAGAAATAGATCGTATTAACAAAAATTTCATTCAAAATATGTATTTTAAATTATAAAAAAATTAAGCAGTTATTTAGTATTTAATATTTTAAGAAACTTTCTCTAGACTTATTTCTTATCTAATATTTGAAGCAAATTTTCGGAATCAAAAATATGATATGTTTCATATTATTTAGTATTTATCGCAAATACGTATCTAAAGGAAATGAGAAGAAGATCGAACTTTGTTTTACAAAAAATCCGCGCAGCGTATATACAATATTTTTAATAAAAGATTGATGCCTTGCTTTTTGTTACTTTTAAATTCTATTATTTGTGTCTTATTCCGCATTCTTAATCCACGAAAAATAATAGTTAAATTTTATTTAAATTCACAATATAATGTTAACAAGATTTGTTTAATTTTAAGCATCAAGTAAAAAATATGATGTTAATTGAAATAGAACAGTGATTTGTGTAATTTCTGTATATATTTGTGATTCTGTCGCGAATATATTTTCTTTTTGATGAATAAGTAATGAAATAATATATAGTGTATTATACGACGCAATCACGTAGCAAGACTATATGCCAACCGAAATATTTAATTATTTAGAACATAGATTGGTGCCAAATATTTTGCTTCTTACATTAAAAATTTATTTTGCTTATCATAAGATATTAAATTCAACATAAAGAGTACAGTCTTCTTATTTAATTGAAAAGTATTAATCAAAAGTATTAAAAAAATATTAATTAATTTTAGTTATTTTATCAGTATTATTTTGTGACAAAATTTTACGCTTTGGAGAAAGAATAAAATTATGTTCTAAATAAATTTATGTTTAGTTAATATCCTATAATGAACAAAATTAATTTGAAATGTAAGAAGCAGAATATTTGGCATGAATAAATGTTAAAAAGAATTAAATATTTCGGTTGGTCTTGCTACGTGTTTGCAGTGTACAGCGAGCTATTATTTCATTACCCATGCATATTATAAACATAATAGGTACGCAACAGAATCATAGACATATAGAGTACAGGAATTACAAATCACTGCATGTTTATTACAAGTAGTAAGTTTTGAGTCTTAAAATTCAACAAATCTCGCATTGCATTGTAAATTTGAATAAAATTTATCTATTACTTTTCCCGAATTAAAAGTGTGAAATAAAACGTTACAAAAAGCAGCAAGGCATTAATCTTTTATTAAAAATATTGTGTACATTGTACGGATGTCTTGTAATAAAAAATTATTACAAATTGATAATAACTTATTTTAATTTCGTTTAAAAGAACCGTTCAAGTAAAATAGGATCGAACAAATGCCAGAGAAGCCAAAAGCAAAGTGCGAAATATTTATATACGGATACGACGATACCGGTTTGAATCACGTAAAATATAAAATGATTGAATAAACCGTGAATATTTTTCATACACGATAGTTGGATATTCGAACGGCGTACGACGCGGCGCAGCGCCGGATGACTTAACTTAACTTTGGTAAAATGGCCCCAATCTCATGTAGAGTCGATACGGTCAGTATCAAAAGCTACCGCTGTGCGCGGCGAGTCGCGAAACTAGGCGCTAAAGTAAAGCCTTATGTCCACGATGCTAGAAATCGGTCCGAGATCTCTAATGAAAAAAGAATTGACCAATCGCAATGGTCATGTGATCAAATTATTCAAATGTGATTTGTTAATTTTTTCTCTGGCCAAGATCTCGGATCGATTTCTAGCATCGTGGACATTGGGCTTAACGGAGTAAACATAGGGGAAATAAAAGTTCCCGCGTAAATCAAGAATAAACATCCCAGCCCAACCGCGGGGAAAGGGTTGAGTAGGGAGTGTTAAATGCTGAGGTTGTTAGACTTGAGGAATGCTAAGAGTAATCGAACTAATTTTGGATTGGGATTTTTAAAGAGTGGGAAAATATTTTTTTGAGTGTCAGGAAAATTATGGATGTATGAGATGAGTTTACCCGACTTAGGGGCTGTGAGTGGGCAGTAAAAAATGATGTGGTTGATATCTTGATGTGGGTCTCCACAAGGATAGGCCTTTGATGATACAATGTCTTTTCTGTATAGACTATAGTTTAGATTATAGTGGTTTGAGCGTATGCGATTGATAAGTACAATTTCTTCTCTGTTAAGAGAGAGTTTATTGAACCAAGGTTTGAGAGATTGCGAGCGGAAATATTGTTCGTAATGTAGTCCCTTAATTCTAAACTCTTCGTCCAGGTGAGATTTGAATTGTGTGATGGCAGTGCTTCTAGCTTCGGATAAATAATCCGGAAATGGGATGTCCAGGTCGACCCTGTCACCCCGAGTAGCACCGAGTTTGGCCAGTTCGTCAGCTCTTTCATTACCAGAAATGCCTTTGTGTGACGGTCAGGGGCGGATTCAGGGGGAGGAACCATGGGGGCCATGGCCCCCCCCCCTTTGGGAGTTTCATTTTTTAAAAATATTTATAGCAAAAGGTTATATATACTTTTAATATTTCTAAAATACTGAATCATAATTTTGACATTCCAAAAATATTTTTTATTTTAAGAATCTTCTAAGTATAAAAATAGATTCCTTTATATATTCCAAAAAGTAAGTAAATTAATATTGAAGTCTGTGCTACAGCTTTTATTTTCCGCTTGTTCGCGTTGGGTGAACAAAGTATTGGTGTCACCATTAAATGTAGATATAAGTCACGTGGCACCAATCACGTGTAATTCTCGAATGGCCAGGCCAGACCATGGTGGAAAGATAACCCTTCCACCATGGGCCAGACTGCCAGAGAGAAACCTGAGAGAGAACATGAGAACCTTTTTCCTGTAACCGCAAAATGTGCGCACAACCGCCCTCTGAAGATATAGATGTCAACTACATAACAACATCCATCTTTTTACGGCGCTCCTGATGGAAATAAATCGCTGAAGTCGCTGGAATAACTAAAATGTATCAAATTAGTAAAGGTTTTGACGATTTCAGCGATTTATTTCCATCAGAAGCGTCTAAAAAAGTGGATATTGTTTCGTAGTTGACATCTACTTCTTCAGAGGGCGGTAGTGCGGAAGGCATTTTGCTGTTACAAGAAAAAAGCAGTTATATGTCCTCTCTCAAGTCTCTGTGGCCAGACTCTATGCATAGGGAGTATAGGAACTTTATAACACCATGATGTGTGAGATGAAATAGGATAAAAGTTAAAGGCAATATTCATAGATGGTTGGAGCTAATCAACCAATCAAACTTGATACTCGTATTACTCGTTCAAAATATTTCGCGCGAATTATATATTATTTTATTATATAAATATCGCAACAGGGGTATTGCAATTTGCAATTTTGAAGTTGAAAAATTGAATAATTCAACATCACAATTGTAATAGTAAGTTTCTATCTTCAAAAGTGACTGATCCTCTTTTGACAAATGAACATTGATATTCTGTTTATAACAGACTCTTGTTGATGCTAACATTAAGTATATGTCGAAGTTCATTCAGAGATATATATCAGAGAATATAAATTATCTATTCGTGTTTCACTATTTTCCTCATTAGCCACAAAAATATTACAATATTGAGCTTATATTATCTATCAAACACACAGGTAAGTAGTAATAATTATCGTAGCAAACACGGATATATAACTTGTAACATGTAATTTACATATACATATTATATACTCGTACATGTCATATAACTGTAGGAGCGCTTCTCTGATATTCAGTACCATGTGCGGCTAATCACGATAAGCGAGCGCCACCGTAGGATAAGCGAGCGCCACCGTAGGATAAGCGAGCGCCACCGCGGCGCTATAAGCGAGTAG